GCGCACCCGGGATCCGAACCAGCGAACCCCGGGCCGCCGCAGCGGAGCGCGCACACTTAACCGCTTGCGCCACCGGGCCGGCCCCGAGGTGGTTTTCTTTTAATAGACAGACTGTCACCTACAAATAATGCTGGCTTTTTCTCTTACTTTCTGATCCTCGCACAGTTTCGGTCTCCTGCCTGCTGCGCTGGCCAGGGCCTCAGTGGAGCGTTGACTAAAGAGCCAAGAGCAGTCATTCTCCTCTTGCTCCTGAGTGTTTAGAGGGGATTCTTTGGACATTTCTCTACCGTATACGATATTAGGTGCTCTGTATCAAGTGAAGGAAGCTCCCTTTTATTCCTTATTTGATAAGAGTTTTGTTTTGTTTTTTTGGGGGAGGAAGATTGGCCCTGAGATAAAACCGGTTGCCAATCTTCCTCTTTTTGCTTGAGGAAGATTGGCCCAGAGCTAACATCTGTGCACATCATCCTCTATTTTGTATGTGGGACACCGCCACAGCATGGCTTGATGAGCGGTGTCTGTCCACACCCAGGACCCGAACCTGCAAACCCCCAGAAGCAGGGGGTGCTGAACTTTAACCACTACACCACTGGGTGCCCCCTGATAAGAGTTCTTATCATGATAGATGTTGAATTCTCTGGAACACTTTATCTACATTTGGGGAGTTTAGCAAGATTGCTAGATTTTAAAAAAATCAGTAGATAGGAGTAGACAAATATTTCTTATAGCTTTTTTCCTTTGATCTGTAAATGTGGTGAATTTCAATGATTTTTTGCTTTTTAATGTCAAACCAACTTTTTGTTTCCGGGATGATCCCAACTTGGTTCTGACATATTACATTTTTTTTTTTTAAAGATTTTATTTATTTATTTTTTCCCCCCAAAGCCCCAGTAGATAGCTGTGTGTCACAGCTGCACATCCTTCTAGTTGCTGTATGTGGGACGCGGCCTCAGCATGGCCAGAGAAGCAGCGCGTCGGTGCGAGCCCGGGATCCGAACCTGGGTCGCCAGCAGTGGAGCGCGCTCACTTAACCACCAAGCCACGGGGCCGGCCCTGACATATTACATTTTTAACATTGCAGGATTAG